AAAAAAAAACAAACAAACAAATAAACAAAACAGAATTGAGAGGTTTCTCCTATGAATCACAGTAATCTGGTTCTCCTAAGCTTTGTTACATGTAGTCTTTTATTTCAATAACAAAATTTAAGATGATACTACTTCCTGAATGTAAAAGAAAATCCAGTGTATTTACTTCAATTATACTTTTATTTTCATTATCTTGAAAATTTCTAACCTACAGAGGGTATAGAGAAACCATATGTGGGTAGTAGTAACCACTAGGAGGAGGGCAATGTCAAAATAATAATAAAACAACCAAACAGGAGACAAATCAAGTTTCACATTTAAAGCTAGATACCAATAGGCACACCTTCCCAGACTGCCCAAACAAAGGTACTGGCTAATAAGTTCATTATCTAAGGCAGGAAAAAAAAAAAAATCACTAGAATATATTTCTGTCATTTTAGCTGAATGTTTTAAGTAAAATATTCTCATGTTATGCTTTTTACATGAACTATAAGATTGTTCCAGTAAGCACCAATGATAATAATCATTTACAACAACAGCAATCTCATCATAACCAGTCCAAGTAATAGGGAAAAGCCATACCAAGAAGAAAAGGAAATGTTCAAAAAGACATATGAGAGAATAACAACAACAGCAACAGCAACAACAAAACAGCCAGAAAAACTCCCAAAGTTAATAGAATGTTAGAATGCTATACACTAGAGGCTCTTTGAGTGTCAAATGTCTATATAACAATAATAACATTTAGCATTTATAAAGCATGTTAGAAATTACAAAGTGCTTCCCATCAAATACTTTATGACTCTCAGAGCAATGTAAAGATATTGCTATCATGCATTACCATTATTCTGTTTTATAGGCCAAAAATATGAAGGTCAAAGAAGTAAAATCACTGGAACTCTGTGTCAGGTTGTTTTGGTTTCATTTTGATTTTTTGTTTGCTTCCAGATATTGGCCAACCATATATTTAGTAATAATTAGAAATTCAAAACTCTGTAAGTCCAAACTTACAATCTTTTAGACTTTGCTATCATTAGACTGATACTTTAGGAATCAGCACACTGTGGGAATTTAATATGAAATACTTATTTAACTGACTACTTGAAGTCAGGTAATAAATATGTCACAAAGTCTATCAGAAAAAAATACAAAAAGAATATAAAAGAAAGGGGAAAGATTCAATACCTACTTTGGTCCTGAAAGCTAGTATGTCATTTGGGAAAAGAGTGGAGAGAAGGTAAATACCTCACTATTCGACTAAAAATGCTTTGATGGAAACAATGCTAAATTCCAAGAAAACTTAAAAATAGGGGCTAAAAATATTCCAAGAACATTTAGAAAAAGATAACCTATGTATATAGAGCTAGCTTATGAACTACTGAGCGAGAGAGACAGACACACAATATGGAACAAAAAGAAACTACCACAAGAAAATCAAGACAGGACTTATGAGGTGGAGATGTGGAGAAATTGGGACCTTCATCCATTGCTGAAGAGAATTCAAAACTGTATAGCCACTTTGGAAAACAGTCTAGCAGTTTCTCAAAAAGTTAAGCATAAATTTATGTTGTGACCCAGCATAACGTGGTTTCTATTCGAGAAAACTAAAAACATATGTCCACACAGACTTTAACGTAAATGTTCTCAGTAACATTATTTACAGTGACCAAAAAGTGAAACAACCCAAATGTCCATTAATTAGTGAATGTATAACAAATGTCATGTACCTACACAAGGTAATATTATTCTACAGTAAAAAGGAATGAAATATTGACAAATGCTACAAAACAGGAATGAACCTCAAAAATATTTTGCTAAGTAAAAGAAATCAGAGGAAACAGACTATATATTGTATGATTTTATTTACATGAATGTCCACAAAGATTGAATTTACAGAAGGAAAAAAATACATTAGGGGTTGGCAGTATGGAAGCAGGACTA